AGTAAACAAACAAGTGAAGAGGAGTATCAGAACCGACAAACGTAAATATGTGGAGGATTTAGAAATGACGGCGGAAAAGGCTGCAAGAGAAGGAAATATAAGACAACTGTATGACACAACATAGAAACTCACTGGAAATTCTAATATTCACCTTGTTTTTAAAGATCTAGAAAAATTAACCGACTTATGAGATAATTACTGTTTAATTTTAAGCAATCAAATTAATTACGTTAATATTAGATGCCACAAATTTATTGTCAGTTAACGTTGTCTTTGTTCATTCAGAAGACGATTCTGCGGACTGTCCATAAAGAGCTTCGAATTATTTGATTTCTTGTTTTCAGATAACCAACAGTTAACACATGAAGATGTTTATTTCTTGTTGATTTCAGCTAAACATCGTTTATGCAATTTAAATATCCACAAAAGTATGTTCTGAACACTTGACTACTTATTAGTAATGTGCGTTGCACAATCAGATTTTTAGAATTTTGATCAGTGATTACTTGTTTGTCCTAGTTTGGACTATACAATGATATTGTTTCAGTATATCAGATAATTCATCTTTGATCTAATGGAAGTACTTCTACTCTCAACTTAAAGATTTAATTTATCCGTTTTAATAATAATCAACTCTGTTGACAAGAATGCTCATCATGATTGTAAAAGCTTATAGTTACCCTTGTATGAATGAATTTTGTAGATGTCATGATATTAGGCCAAATTATTTTTTTATATACAAAAATTTCAAGTCTGTCGTTAAGACACCAGTTTACTCTAATGTGATTCCATACTTGAATAATATTTGTTTTTAAGAATTGCATGTTACAGAGGCTGAAATTATTTTGCCTGCAGCACTTCCAGGGTGATTGTCAGTTAATGGGCCGAACAAATGAACAGTGTAGAGCATGAAGTCAGCAACATCATCCTGTAGAAGACAACCTTTCTAAGCACATGCTAATATCATGGACACCATATTTTTGGGTGATATTATTTGCAAAGGATTTAAATGAGAAATATAATTAACTTGATTGGTATTATAAGATTGTATTGTTGTTACATAAGTCTTTTTGACAGGAATAGAGCATTGAACAATCTCTTGAATTCTGAATAATCATAGCTTGCATTTATGGTTGTATCTGACGCAACAATATTGAAGATCTGAATTAATTCTTATTAAAAGAAAATAAAATGTATTGAAAAAACGTTTCTTCGTTCAAATATTTCCTCGTATTAGAAAACGTAAATCCATCAGTCAGTAGTTTTCAACATAGAATATTAACATGAGTGCATTGGTTCAAGTTGTTGAACTATACACTTACAGTGAGATGAAATTATCAAGTTAAATTTCAAAGTAATAAAAGTTGTTACTTCATCGGTAGTAGAAGAAATGAATAGTGATAGGAAGAAAAAAATAAAGCATTAGAAGATCTTAGTACTCAAGATCTGAGAGAATATGAAAAATCAATTACTACCTTGATCTGGCGGTTGGGCACATATTTTGTAATAACACAATTGAACTATATAGACTGGAATAATCCTCACTTTAGGTTCTACTGTAACAGATAGATGGATTGGAGAACGGTGAAACCAAAATCAACAACAATAGGTCTCAGAATTCAGTCCTCCTGTTAATTACACGGATGTATGATAGTAGTAAGGTGTTTCTTTCAGGTAATCACTATTAGCAGTGATACTACTTACTGATAATGGACGGATGGAATTAAGAAATGTAATCCCTAAAAATGTCACGCCTCACTTTACCCTACAGATTTTAATCTTTATAATACGGATCGAACACATCAGAAACATTCATTTAAAAAGTAATGTGATTGGCCTCAAGTAATTGTACATTGGGCTCTGCAATCACGATCCTAAATAGCTTTCATCAGGTCCCTTAAGACAAAATATCATTTTAGTGTGGGAGACCGGTACAAGATAATTTACCTCATACTTTTAAGATCCTTAAAAGAAAGCTTAAGAAATTAGTAATGATGTCAGAATTAAATAAAATAAAACTGTTAATGGTCATTCATATGAATAATTAAAAAAAGAAGAACTAAATCTCTTAAAGGACCCTGTTATGATGATTTGTGGAATTCTACTACAAATTGCTAACAAAACCTAAGCTTACAATATACTTTAAACTAGTAGAGTACAACTATCTATTGGACGATCTTTGAAATCCAAAAGGTGAATTGGTTTAGATTATTTTATTCACTTGAACAGTACCTAAAGTGGTTCCAAAAATCATTCTACTATGCCCATTTTTAGATATTTTAAATACTGCTACTACTACTACTACTACTACTACTAATAATAATAATAATGACATATTACTTACTTACTTACTTACTCCTGTTACTCCTAATGAAGCATAAGCCGCCGACCAACATTCTCCAACCCACTCTGTCCCACTGTGCCTTCCTTTCTAGTCATATCCAATTCATGTTCATTCTTCTCATGTCTATCTCCATTTCTCAGAGTAATGTGTTCTTTGGTCTTCCTCTCCTCCTTCTCCTCCTTCTCCTCCTTTGGCCTTGACGATTCCATGTGAGGGCTTGCATTGTGACGCACGGTTGTGTACTTTCCTCAGTGTGTGTCCTATCCACTTCCAGTGCTTCTTCCTGATTTCTTCGTCCACTCGAATCTGGTTTGTTCTCTCCTACAGTAAGTTGTTGGTGATAATGTCTGACCAGTTGACCCGAAGTATTTTGTGTAGACAACTGTTGATCAACACTTGTATCTTCTGGATGATGACTTTCGTAGTTCTTCAAGTTTCCGCCTCATACAGTGGAACTGTTTTGACATTTGTATTGGAAATTCTGACTTTGGTGATAGCAGTTGACAATTATTTTGAGTTGCAGATGTTCTTCAATTGTAAATATATTTCTCTTGCCTTGTCGATCCGTGCCTTCACATCTGCATCAGATCCATTGTGTTCATGAATGACGCTGCTGAGCTATGTAAATGTTTTTACATCTTGCAAATCTTCTCCGTCAATTGTGATTGGATTGTTGCATGCTGTGTTGTATTGGAGAATCTTGCTTTTCCCTTTGTGTATATTGAGACCTACTGCTGCTGAGGCTGCTGCTATACTGGTCGTCTTCTACTTTATTTGTTGTTGCATGTGCGATGGATGATCCAGATCATCTGCGAAGTCTGGATCGTCCAACTGTGTCCTAGATATTCACTTTATCCCATGCTTTCTCCTCCTGGAGTCCCTCCGAGAGCTAATGCTGGTCCCAAGCCTGGATAAAGTAGGAGGGTTGGGCATGAGGTTCGCCACTCCATCCAGTAGAAAACTAACTCGCTAAAAAAACACTAACCAGAAAAAATAATGACATACTACTATAAGTATATTTAAGTTGTATATTTTTAGCAATTATGCAGGATAATTCATTTTTGTATTGATTGTTTGAATCTTCCCCTTGACTGTGATTGATCAGTCTCTTATTCGCATCTAGATTTCTGATATTATTCTGTAAAAGCAATTCAACGTTGATAGGTAATAGTTTCTGTTTTATATAATTAGTCAGTACTGATTAACCATATGCAATTTTAAGTATTGTAATAGATTAAACTACCTTCAGTAACCACGATGTCTATTAGCTACAGTATTGAATTTACCATAATGTTTTTAATATGGGTGCATTCTGCTATTTTTTCTTCTTGTAGGTTATTATGAGTGTAATTAATTTGTTCCCATTTCGTAGAATAACAAATTAAGACTCAAATCATGTGCTACTTAACTCTTCCTGTAATTCTTCTAAAGCTACTGCCGGTCTCAAGCTCGAGTAAAGAAGGTGGGTTGGGCTTGGGGTCAACACCGTCATCCTGTAGATAACAACTCTGTTAAAAATCTTCTACCCATGTGCCATGTGGTACAGAAAATAACTATAAAGCGACATCATGCCAAAAAATGTAAAGCCACCATTAAAATTTGAATTATTTTTTCTGGTTAGCGTTTTTTAGCAAGTTAGTTTTCTACGGGACAGGGTCACTAATCACATGCCCAACCCTCCTCCTTTATTGGGGTATGGAACCGGGAGTAACAGACGTAAAGTAATTAATTAAGTGTCGTCAAGATTTACTTAAACCTCTAGTTATCTTATGAATTTTATTTCCGTTTTGCATTAAATCTTAAACTAGCCTTCATGTTTGTTCACATCAATATTCATTTACCTTATGGAAGCCCACGTGCAATTAAGTTTGTTCACATTTTATTTGGTTAAGACCTGTCATCCGTACCATAACAACTTATCTATACCTTTATACATTTGTTATTACTACACTTGTATGAATATGTATGCTGCAGCATTGCTTACTGCCTACACATATATTCATTCTGATAGCTTTAATGTTAGTCACTTAATTGATTCAATGATTCATTCATTTCACTATGCACATTTTAATCCTGTCCATTGACTCGCCAACTAGCTCACTCGACTAGCTCATTTGACTTGCATACTCACTCCGTTGTCCGCTTGCATTTCAGCACGACTCTTTCATACTTGCTTAGTGTACCTATAATTTTGATTATCTGTGCATGGTGCAATAATAAACGTAATCAACACTTCGTAATCACCTTCTGATTAATACACCGTTAGGGGTGTTATCTATTAACAGTTATCAGAACGAACTATATACCGACTACCACTAATTTAACTTCGATCAATCTGCCGAAAAAACACTAACAATAAACTGATTCTAAAACAATGTTTCAAAAAATTATTAAAAGTCAGAAAGGGGTTTTGTGGAGGCTTTAGAAATCTCATTAGTTGAAATCATGAGTCAACTGAAGCTAGACCAGCATGGAAAACCTGTATGAGACTCCTCAGTAGCTTCTATTTTTTATTCAACCAATTCAACTTTATGAAATAAATATTTCATAAACATACATATGAGTGAACATGTATACAAACAATATGCATATTAAATAATTTATTCGGACCAGTTTTGTTTCTACTTTCTTTCTTTCTTTTTTTTCTTTCTTTCTTATGACCACGCACAACAATACCGTTTACACACACACAAACACAAAAATAGATAAATATTCTGAATCTTTCTATGCATTTGCCCATTTTATCTTATTTTACATGTAGTCAAGTGTAAATCTACACGCACACTCACACACACTCACACACAAACACACATACATACACTTTAATATATGCACATAAATAGTATTTCAATAATTTTATTCAAATTATAGTCACTATGTTGTATATTACCAAGTAAATATATTCAAACCAAGATTGTTTCTCCTTTTTACAATATTGTAATGATCATAAAATGAGTAGTTTAAAAGCAATTATAAAAAGTGTTGATATGCCTGATATAATGCAACAAGATGCTGTAGATATATGTGCTATGGCAATTAAAAAATATTCAATGGAAAAAGATATAGCAGCATTTATGAAAAAAGAATTTGATCGAAAATATTCACCTAGTTGGCATTGTATAGTTGGATCACATTTTGGCACGTAAGTTCACTTTACACTTTGTATATTTTCATTATAGTTATCCTATGATATTTTATCAAGTAGTTTGTAAGTATAATTTTCATAGAGTGAATGAATTCATAAAGTATGTTTTTTAAAGTAAAGATAGATAGTGGCTAGCAGTGGAATCGAGGACGCACGTTTCATCTTATTTGGGACTCCTCAGACTGACCAATTGTAATCCTAAATAACAATGGGAAGATACATGTAAAACAATAACAAGTGAATTTAATTCATCAAGTTGTTTAGATGATGACTGCCTATGATTATGAAATTTCTGGAATAGGATAATAAGATTGTCCCTTAGTTTGACAATTAAAAACAATTATAAATGAATCTTATTTTGTTGTAACCTCTTAAACATTTGAAATGTATTAAACACCTGATGAAATTTACAACCTTATCTTGAGTTGATATGATAGATGGATAGAAACCGTTGTATGAACTTATTTGACCTTTGCATATGTAATTGTGACGTTATCGGTTATATTTTAAGTATTCCTATGCAAGTTACTGACCTTTCATCCATATAGGTGTGCTTGAGTGTGTATATGTGGAATGGTATTTATCATACTATGTATGTATAAACTAAGTTATAAAATTATTTAACGGATTTGGAGTAAAGCGGATTTCCAAGCTTAATCGGTTCATTTCATTCATAGTTTATCTCCTCATATGAATTCATAAACTATAACTTTCAAGTTACATTTTGTATTTACCTTGAATTTACCTTTTATATACGATTGTTCCAAAGTACGGTTCCTAGAAGTGTTATATATGAAATTAAATTATTAGGATATATATTTCATAATCATTATCATTGTACTCAGATGCTCCACTGTAAGTCTTCTATAAAAAAATATGGATTTTCCTCTTATTTAATTTACTGCTTACTACAGAATATATGGTCATGAATCGTTATCATTACATAACTAAATACATTGTAAAATGTTTGATTTCTACAATAACTTTCGCTTTACCGTCAAATGAACAGTAACAAATGCCTCCATAGTACTTAATAGCTGAATGGTTTGAATAACGTTTGTAAACTATACTTCCATTAAGCACACAGGAAACAATACGAACTGAAGTGAAATCCAGGTTTATAAATTGTAATTGTATACTTTGTCAGCTCTTGAAATACACATTATCCTTTTGATAATTCTAATACACTGTACTTTGAATGAAGTTCTTTTTAAAAGAACTTCTGAACTTAAATGAATACACATGAAAGCAAAGTATATTTTTTTCACGAAGCACTGTCGATGTATTCTCCTTTAGCTTATTTTGAGATAATTTCCAGTATGATTCTATGGGATAGGGACAAAAGATAGGGCTAGATTCATGTTTCCTATTCATTGATACTTGTCTATCTGAAAATCCTTACATGTGTTGCACAAAACTACTGGCCTTAGCTCAAGACAATAATACGGAACTATTCAGAATTATATCGACCCACTATGGGGTTTCTGTTTACATTGATTAGCCACTGAGTAATAACCAAAGTCATTTTACTGATTCAGTCTTAATGGTTGAATATTGTTAAAACCGTTCGTTATACAGGTACAGAATTAAAAGATAATTACTTTGTTTACCATTATTTATTTTGTTACAATACAGAGTTACCAGCACCAGTTCCTAGTTATTATAGCATTTAATTCAATTCATTCAAATATACATTTTACAAAAGTCTTTTAGTAGTTAGTATCTCGTCTCATTAGTGTTCGCGAAAGTTTTCCACCAGTCTAGTTGCTACAACCACTTTTTTTCAATGAATCATAATTTTAATGAATAAGTTCTAATGTAATGGTCTCTCATTTCTTTCATGGATAGATAATGAGAAATGTTTAGCAATGGTTGATACGTTTCAGAACTAGTTTTTGATATTTAGCATCTTGATAAGCTATAAGCTTACTATCATAATAAATGGGTACAGTCTGTTAATATTTTAGAATTATTCACTTCTAACACAGAAGAGTATTTTTTGCATCATTTGCAAAATTGACTAAAATATTTGACCAGACTCAACTAATGTGTGTAAAATTGTACATTTTCCACTAAATAATGATTATCCAATTCAAGTGACACCATTACAATGATGGTCAACAGATTATGATCAACAATATGGACTAAATATCACAGTAGTATTTAATGTTCATTGAAAATTCTGATAGTTTAGATTATAGAATGATAAAAATGTTTCACAAAGATTTATTTCAATAGTTGAAATCATGGATCGATTGAAGCTAGACCTCCATGAAAAAACTGGAAGCACTGGACAGTTCGAATTTCTCGGAGGGGGGGCGGGATCATGGATGAGCACTGCTAAGGTGTCCCATACTAGGACGAAGCGGCCGTCAAGTGCTTCCAGGTTTTCCATGCTGGTCTAGTTTCAATTGACCCATGATTTCAATCAGTGAAATTTCCAAAACCCCTTCTGATAAAGATTTATTTATTCTCTCTTGTGTGTTTTTTTGTTGTTCTGTTTTAGAGACAAGTCTTACTGAAAGTGAAAATAATAATAATAATGTTAATAGTTTTGAATGTGTTGTAAGGCGTGTTATTTATGTGGTTTTTGATTTAGCTAGTAGCATATTTGTCTTATCAAAACACTTTTGTATCATAGAAAACTTATATGTACTTTAGAAAACTGATTGTTTTACTACAGTTTCTGAAATCTTATTATTATGAAAAACTTAATGAATACTTATAATATATCATATCCCTGTAAATAATTATACATTATTATTCAATGGAGGTTTGTTCTTTTAGCTGGATAGTTTGGTCGTGGAACTTTCATCGTACCTCTGAAGGACATCATCAGCAAAAACTTCATGTAGAAGTCATAGAACTGATTAATTTGACAAATCATATGTTGACATTCAAAATAAGCGCAAAGTTATTATGCCAGTAATATCAGTATCATGTCAAGTTATTACTACTTATTTCAATAATATCATTGTTGTTATTAAAGATATTTGAGTAACCACAATTGATTGATCACTGGGTGGTGATCAATGTCATGCTTGTCTAGTCCTTATTAGTGCAGATAGAATGCTATCGATCATGTTGCAATGTGGCCACCAGTCTAGGTGACTCGACACTGCGGGCACTGTGTATTGAGATTTAGATGGTAGTTGGAGGTAGTCAACAGGAAACCCTGGACCCGGGTTTCGTGCTACTTGGCACTCGTCAGCAAGGTGTACTTGTTTCAGTCATTAATGAAAACCTGTTAAATGTTTATAAAATGTTTAGTCATTTTTAAATGAGAAGACAAAGGTTATGCTGTGAAAGACTTAAATACTAATTTATCAAGTGGCAACTTTATTACCCTACGGAACATTCCATCGTTTTGCATGTATCTACCCACGTCGAACCTCCAAAGGTTGAATAGGGAAGGCTTACTGTTTCAACGAAATATGCCTTTGAACAAATTTCGATTACAGTAGGAGAGACTATAACACATCATACCTGGTGTACATATAAAAGATATCTAAACGTTACAATCAACCACCTCTTTACTTTACACGAACATACAATTCACTTCATCCTTAACATTAGGGTGCTTTCAATCTATCAAGTGCAGTAAGTTTACTGGTACCTCTGGGGTTTCGGGTCGTAGCTTTTATCATCAGATCAACCAAAAAGTTTGATCTTATCATCTAATATATAACTTAAAATATATACATCCTTTCTACTGAATACATTCTAACTATATTTTCATTTTAATCTTTTTTTCTGTATAACCTCCTTCAGGTATATTTCACATGAAGCAAAACATTTTATTTATTTCTTTTTGGATAATCATGCTGTTGTGCTATTCAGAACTGGAACAATCAATTGAAAATCAATATATGTCAACTAATAATCTTTTTATTGGACAAGTCTATCAATCTATTGTATCCTATTGATAACAGTACAAAATTTCCTATTTTCTATATACTGATTAAATCACCTTATCTATTCTTTTATAAAGACAAATCTAACAAACAATCAATAACTCACTATATATATTCTTTATTTGTCTTACATTTGTCGTCATACTACTTATTTACTTACTTACTTACGCCTGTTACTCCCAATGGAGCATAGGTCCCCGACCAGCTCCCGTGATATATTATTTCATATAATCAATATTTTACAAGAAATTCATATTTTCTATCAAAATGACTATTTTTTTTCTTTGAGAAAAAAAACTCTTGTTCAGAAAAGAGCATATTTTATTGTTGTTAATCTTTATATTTGATTAGAAATATGTTTGAAGTGTATGAGAATAAAATGATCTTTGTATGAATTAGTTATGTTGATGTAACTGTAAATATAGATATGAATATAGATATGAAGTATCTTAGTTTTAGACAAATTTCAAAGTGTCAGAACTAATGGTAACAGTAGGTTGTTCAGATGAAAATAGATAGAATAGACAAAGATGGATAGTGGTTAGTAGTGGAAATCATGTATACGCGTTTCATCTTATTTGGGACTTGTTACCTGGATATACCTTCATCACAAATTTGATAATATGCACATATGTCAATAAGAGACTGATCAATTTCAGTCTTAAATATCAATAAGAAGATTCAAGTAAAACAATACCGATTGAATTTAGATGAAATAAGGCTTAAATCTGCAAAGCCAAACAACTTAACAACTAAACAATATACATATATATATATATATATATATATATATATATATATATATATATATATATATATATATATATAGTAGCAATGACGTTCAATATTTAAGAATAGTTGAAGTACAGTTGACAAATTTTGATGGAGTTTTGTACTCTAAGCTAGATGGTTTAATCGTTAAATTTTTATCGTTCTTCTGAACGACATCATCAGCAGAAACTTCGAGTAGAAATGAAGTGTTCGAATTTCTGCACATGTGATTCACACCTTGTCCTGTAGACCTCGATGTTGATTGGTTCTTGTTGACCTTAAACCTGTCATTAGATGACAAAGCCAATTAATTGAGTAACCTGTTACTTTGAGATCATGGTAGCTCCTGATTAAGACATTAAAACTAATATTATATTTGTTATTTGATTTACTAGATTAAGCATAATAGGAATTAACTATCTTCTAGTTTCGTATACGAAGTTTCCATGACTATTAATCGGTTAAGTTAAATTTTGACCACATTTTTTTGAGAACTTAAGAAACTTTTTAGTAAATTGAAACTTTTAATTTGTCCTGTAACTATGAAGTTTATTCAACAAATATATATAATCAAAGAAAGTGAACCTTAACTACAATCATCATCCAGTCGAAGATTTCAGCATCAATCTAATGAAATCAATTCATCTAGTTGTATTATGAATTTATAAAAATACTTAAGTAATAAATATCCTATTCAGATACTATATAATCCAGATTATAATAATTGGGTTTTTGATTGACATCATAAACCGACTGATGTTAGACCACCTTTGGAAATCTGGAAGCACTGGACGGCCGTTTCGTCCTATTATGGGACTTCTCAGCAGTGCGCATCCACGATCCCACCTTGTGAGATTTGAACTCAGGGCCTTCGGTCTTCGCGCGTGAACGCTTAACCTACTGGACCACTGAGCCGGCATCCAATGGTGTTAGTGTCTAACATCAACCAATCCACAAAATTGCGCGACCAACTTCCATTGTACTGTGGTAGATACCTGTCTCTACCCGACAAGGATTAGCTCCACTGGTCACGGCTTTTCACTAGAACTCCGATAATTCCCTCACGAAGCTAGTCACTAGTGGGCCCATGCTGATAACTAGTATAGGGTTTGTGGAGATTATTAAGTTTTTGATTGAGATCATGAATTAAAATTCCCCTTCAGTTTTGATGATTTAAAATTTGGCTTGCTTAAAAGAAATGTCCTAGATATAATAAGTCATTAGGTCTTTTATCCATAACTGGCTTAGTATGTTATATTGAAACAACATAAAATGAACAAAAAAATAATTTAAAAGTTATTCATATATTGAACTTTTTGGAGGATTATTTCTTGAGAACAGTACATATTTACAAAAAATTAATTTCACTGATTGAAATCATGAGTCAATTGAAGCTAGGCTGCCAGGCGCTTAACAATTAGACCACTGAGCTGGCATCCGACGGTGTTAATGTCTAACTTCAACCAATCCACAAAGTTGCGCCACCACGAGACTGATAGGTCCTGGGTTCAAAACTTGCGGGGTGCGGGATCGCGGATGCGCACTGTTGAGGAGTCCCATACTAGGACGAAACAGTCGTTCAGTGCTTGGAGGTTTTCCATGCTGGTCTAGCTTCAATTGACTCATGATTTCAACTGATGAAATTTCTAAAATCTCTACAAAATCCCTTCTGATAAAAACATTGATTGTATTGTGAATTAAAAAGAATTATCAGATGTGTCAATTGAAACGAAATAATCATGGAAAACCTAGGAGAACTAGACTGCTGTTTCTTCTTAGTGTGCTACTCCTAAGCAGTGCGCATCCATGATCTCATCCCAGGACCTATCGGTGTTGCACGCGAATACATAACCGCTAGACTACTGAGCCGGCAGCTTTTAATTGTAATGATGACAATATATATATATACAAAACTAAGGGTTCTATTCCAATTAAATAGACTTAAAATTTGTTTCATAATGAATTACGTAATCTGGTTGGCACAATAAAGAAAAGAGAATTTAGCGAAGAAAATTTTCTTATCTACGACATCATTTACTTAAGATGTACATTCGTATAATGGTTATATATGGAAAATATATGTAAATGATTTCATCGAAAAAAAAGAAAATTTTCTTCGCTGAATCCACTTTTTCTTGGCAAGATTTTTTCCTACGGGATGTGGTTGCCGACCTCACGCCTAACCCTCCTCCTTTACTCAGACTTGGGACTGGCAGTAACTTTAGGACAGCTACAAGAGGAGTTTTCATGATGAATTACTAATAATGTTTTTTTTCTAAATTTACACAAATAGATAACAGCTGACTGAAGTATACGGAACTAAAAGAATCAATATTGAATCGAAAAATTCTTTCATAATCATCAAATTTCTTATATCCGTAGTATAAACCAAGTCATTCGAGATTTTTCCATAACAAATGATAATAATTTACTTGGTATTATTTACTTGAATCTTCTCATTGATGATTAGGACTGCAATTAATCAGTCCCCTTATTGACACATGTACATACTGTTCTTATTGCCTCGATATTCCCTTAATTCACAAGCATTATAAGCAAAGATGAATAGTGGCTAGCAATGGTATCTAGGACGCGTGTTTCTTCCTATTTAAGACTCGTCAGCTGGATGTTCACCCCGGGACTCGAACCCAGTATTGTTATTAATTGTAAATACATAGAAATAAATTAAAGTTGTAAAATCAAAAATATACAGAAAACATTTTTTTATTTAAGAAAAGGAAAACACTTTTGTTCAAATTATTTTTTGATGAAAATAGTTTACTAAGTACATCGATAAAGTAAAAGACTGACTTCTCCACAATGTATATAAATGAAACACTTTTCATCATGTGTGATTGACCTAAAAAACAAAAAAAAGAAGAAAAAAAAGCTTAAGATAAAGTTCATTTGAGGTTTACCTCGTGAAAGGTTTTTGTAACAAAATGATGTATTAAAACTGTTTCCAATGCTTTTTCCATATACACTTCATATAAACTTTGATTAGAATAAATAACCATTTGATTTGATCTAGTAAGCTCAGTTATGTTATTGAAAACTGTCCACTGAAAATCGATGGATGCAAAGGAACATCTGGATTTTGAGTTCTTCTATTCTTTTAGAAGATAATTTGAAAAAGAATACGAGGTTGTGTGAAACAACTTACAGGCTTTTCACAGGTTGAAATCATGAGTCAATTGAAGCTAGACCAGCATGGAAAACCAGGAAGCACTGGACGGCCGTTTCGTCCTAGTATGGGACTCCTCAGCAGTGCGCAACCACGATCCCGCACCCCACGAGATTCGAAGCCAGTACCTATCAGTCTCGCTCCAGGCGCTTAATCAACTAGACCACTGAGCCAGCCGGCATCCAAAGGTGTTAATGTCTAACTTCAACCAATCCACAAAATTCCACCACCGTACACCATTGTCTTCAGTGAGTTCCTATCTCACAACAGACCTGGTTGAACTCCACTGGTAACGACTTCTCACTAGAATTCCAGGAGTGTCTTCTGAATTCAGTCACTAGTGAACAGGTGATTATTATTATCAGAATGGGTTTTGTGGAGATTTTAGAAATTTCAACCTGTGAAATTTCTAAAATCTCCACAAAACCCATTCTGATAACTTACAGATTATTAAGATGAAGGCGAACATGATTAATAATATACTGAAACACTACAAATAGATTATTGATGAAAAATCAATACAGAACTGTTTACAAGTTCGACTGTGTTGTTTCTAATCGAATTTATATATTGAAAAGTTGGTTTATGAAATCTTGACTCAAATATTAAAAAAGAACATCTATCGAAAAAACACCCCTAACTAATCTTGTAGATTATTGCAATCAATAAATCAAACCAAGTACAGTAGCACATGATATATTTAACTACCATCGAATCAATATTATAAAAAAAACACCTCAACAATTGAAAGGTGTTCTTTTTTTCTAATTTACGGATAGGAGATTAATTAGAATAATTTACCCTGTCTTTCTATGTTCAAAAGAAAGAAAAGCTTACTTATACAATTGAATCCACAAATCTTTGCAAATTGTCACATTAGCTCGTTTTAGATCTTATAATAATCATATACCAATTAGGTAATGTAGGACATACATTACGCAAATCATCAAACTACATCACGAGGCAAGCCCTAACCTGGAATCCTAGAGAGAAGCGGAAAAGAGGAGGGCCAAAGAACACATTACGTCGAGAAATAGAAGCAGAGATGAAAAGGATGAATAACAACTGGAAGGAGCTAGAAAGGATTGCTCAGGACAGAGTTGGAGGGAGAGTGGTGATGGGCGGCCTATGCTCCTTCACGAGGAGTAACTGGCGTAAGTAAGTAAGTAAGTAAGTAATTTGCATTTCCGATACTTATTAAAACAACAAAGTACAAACAGAATCATGTTTTATGGAGTCATAATAAATTTTAGGTTTGGCTCTGATCTAGAATAAAGTTTCATATCTCAGCTATTTTTTTTAGAAATAAACAGTTTATAAATTCGATTTTCTAATATATGTGTATTTCCATACACATTGTACTTTATCAATATTCCATGAGTTCTGTCATTCCTCTCATTATACATGTGATTAAACTTGAAACATAGATTCTCAAATATTATAAATATCTTTCGTTAAATATAATATCCTATGCTGACACTTCAATGAAAACAGTTGATAGAGATCGTTATGAATTGACTTTTGTTAACATACACTAATAAGAGGCATGGAAATAAACTTTTATTTTACAATTGAGTTACTAGTTACATTTGTTTAAAAAAATGAATAGTTGCTAGGTTAGATTATAGTAACTATTTCATGAGAATCAGTTAATCTATGTGTTCAATACCTACACTTGAATGAAAATCAAAATAAATCAATGTCCATTTGTACTAACCTATAAGTATATCCATTAATCTATTCTACCTGTGTACCCTCCTTGGTATAACTTAGATATTTGATGCAAACAAACACTTAAAGTCATGATCAATAACCGTATTCTATTTGTACACCATAAATGTTCATACTAATTTACATATGTAAACATAAATTATATAATCAACAATTCTAAAACTTTATACATTTTTTTTATAACTGATTAATTCATGAAGGTAGTTTGAATGGTTGCTAAATGATACGATTCTACTTTATGTAAACACATACTGTTCATAGTGTATTGAACAAGAACATAATTGAGGACAATCGAATATATTTGAATATAAAATTACAGAATATCTTAGTAAAATTTGAGAATTATACAGTAAATACTTCATTTACAAAATATCAATCAATCGTCTCAAAATTCATTGTTTTTTCTTTTTGTTTCCATGTCAATCATTCTCTGTTCTCGTTCTCATTACTTTGATTCGCTTAACGTTCTGCCGCCACGTATTTCACTTTCGATTAGTGATAGATACTACTTATATCTATCGACATCAGTAGCATATACCACAATCGGACATGAAAAATTGAATTTGGCTTAATGTGATATAATTAATGCTAGAAGTTCTGATTTATATATTCAATTAAACAACCAATTAAATAATAATAAAAATGATATTTGAAACTTTGTGAAAAAGTTGGATGTTATCAGAGGGGGGTTTTGTGGAGATTTTAGTAATTTTATAGTTGAATTCATGATTTAATTGAAGCTAGACCACCATTGAAAACCTGTAAGAACTGGAAGGTTATCTCATCCTACTTTGGGGCGCCTCAGCCATGGGATTCGAACCCAGGGCCTTCGGTCCCGCTCGCGAACGCTTAACCTCAGGACCACAGAGCAACGAAATTGCGCCATCGTACACTATTGTCTTCAGTGACCTACTGTCTCACAACAGACCCGGTTGAACTCCACTCATCACGGTTTCTCATTAGAACTCCAGGAAATACCTCTTCAAGTTAGACAATACCATAATTGATTGTCGACTCAGTGGTCTACAGGTTAAACGTTCGCTCGCGGGACCGATGGTTCCTTGGTTCGAATCCCGCGAGCGGGATCGTGGAAGCACACTGTTATATAGGTCCATACTAGGACTAAACGGCCGTCCAGTGCTTTCAGGTTTTTCATGGTGGTCTAGCTTCAATTGACTCATGAATTCAACTATTGACTATTTAAATGATATATTTATAAATTTAGTTAGCTATACAGTAGAATAAATATCTAAACTTGAAGATTAGTTGGTGGGACTATAATTTATAGACGAACCAATCAGATATAAGGTTTTTGGTTCCAAATTTATTTATACATTTGACAAAATATCATTTTGTCATCATAGCTGATGTCAGGTCGTGATGAAAACACGAAATCTAATTTCTAACCTTAATCGTCAACTGTAAATCATGATTCTCATTCTTCCTACAGGTTTATAATCCTTATTCGGTTTTGGTTTTTTAGGTGAACACTCTCAAGTTCATGTTAGCGTCGCTCAAAGTTCGTCCATAAATTACAGTCTCAACATTTTTTTCAAATGAGAATTCACTAATAAAATAAATTTTGGTTAAGTTAGCCTTTTATTTTATTCAAAATATCACAACAATGATAGTTATAACTAAATCAGCAAAAATATAAACAGTCTATAAACATTGATTCATATTTTTAGCCTAAAAATTTGGTGTCAGACTGGGGATTTGTGGGGACTGTGGTCATTTCAGTAGTTGAAATCATAAGTCAATCTAAGCTATACGATCTGAGCTAGAATGAAACGGCCGTCCAATGCTTTTAGGTTTTCAGTAGTAGTCTAGCTTTTGTTTCATGAACCAATTTCAATTAGACAACAGTTAAAAATCAAGAGGTATTAAATGGTTTTTTTCACCATAATTTGATACTATTCAGCTATGTACATGATTTCACTGGGGGATTAAAAACCAGTATGTTATGATTTCATAACAAGGAAATAGACTTCAGACAGCTGAATGTGCATCTAGGTAGATACGTTCCTAAAAATTCAATGAATGATATTACATGACTATCGTCAACTGTCATTTATGACGCTTGCTTCAGTCCAATGAAAATAGCCTATTAATAAACCTGATATTATTATTGTTCATACTGTTATTAAGTATTCAAATGTTTTGCATGTAAATTTTATATAAAGACTATTATTTTAACTCTGAGATGCAGGTAGATTCAGTTGATGAGTCCCAAATAGGATTTCACCGCTAGCCACTATCTATCTTTGCATATAATGCTTGTGAATTAAGACTATATTGAGGCAATACGCACAGTATGCACATAAGCCAATAAGAGACTGATCACTTGCGATCCTAAACATCAATGGGAAGATCCAAACAAACAATATATCTAGAAACGTCATTGTAGTATTGTTCTTCTGATAAAAGTTAACTTGGAATAAAATTTTATCACTAATTGATGAAAGAAAGTGTAGTGGCTGGTCCTATGTCGAACCCACATAGCTTAACTTATCTTCCGGACAAGCCAATTTATCCATTCTTCTTGAGTCATGTCTTAACCTTGTTAAGTATTCGCTTATCAACCTTGACCGTTTTATATGAGCGTATGTATGTTCGTTTCTTATCCTACTGCTCACATGACTGCAGCTTATTTTTGTGTAGCTATAAATATCTATTAACGCTTGATTAAATGCAATCAGCGTCATTTTGCTTCGTCCCTTTGATTGCCTACGCAGATCAATGAGTGTACAAAATATATGTAATCGAAAATCCTTTCTCGTATTTGACTTATTTAATTCCGTTATTCACTAACGTGGATTAATTCGATTATTATATACGAAGATTGGCTATATGTATATAATCAATAGCAATCAGAAATTATCCTATTGGAGTCAGATCCCAGGCCACTATCGTGGTGAGTCCATCGACAACATTGTGCGGTCTAATTGACGTCAAAATGAAGGGCCACTAAAAACTTAATTCATCACTTTTTACATATTCATGGTATATCTTCTTGAAGATTTATTTAAACATACAAATTTTCGAATAAAATTAACTGAGAATTAGTTATTCAGTATAAACACACTGCCACCAAGTTTTTCACAGTAGTCTAGCTTCAGTTGACTCATGAACTCAACTATTAAAAAAGTTAAATAAAAAAAATTAGCGAGACTATAATTTACGGACGAACCAATCAGGTATAAAATAGCAGATCTCGGATTTTAGCGTGAAGTTCACTCATCCATTTGGATAAACAGATTCATGGCATTATAGCTGATGTCAGTTCATGATGAAAACCCTAAATCTAATTCCTAACCGTAATCATCAACTGTAAATTATAATTCAAATTTCTCACACAGATTGATAACCTTCATTTGGTCCTGATTATTAAGTGGACACTCTCAAGGTCAGTCTAACATCACTCAAAAGTCGTTCATAAATTATAGTCTCACCGAAAGATTAGTTCAGCGAAGAGTTCTCTTTTCGGAGAATTCATTTTCAAAGGTGTACAATCATAAATACATATACTTATTTTTCAGAATGATAATAATTATAACACTTTTGATAATAAACTTCTATTAGACAATGGTGATATCCATAAAACCTCTTTCTGATAAACATATATATAAACATATAACTTACATTCCAAATTCATGACCTACAATACATTGCCATATTGGTCCATATAATTTATCAAAATTTTTTTTCATAAACATAGCTACATCTTTTTCAGTATGATAATAATCCAATGCATGTACACATAAAGTCAATGCGGTTGTTTTACGTTCTGTTGGTAATTCGTTTGCTTCAACTACAATATCGTAATGTTTCATGATGAATCGGAATCGACTTATGAATAAACGTATATATATATATAATTGGTACTCAGCAATGGATATCTGTTTACAAGACTTATTACAATTCACTTGATAGTACAATCATAAACTGAGAATAATTTAATTGGTGGTAATCATTCTAATTTGTCTCTTTATTTAGAAATGATATATATAAGTGAAGAACATTTTCACATTATTCGACACTTATAGAATCTGTCATAATACTACTACTACTACTAATAATAATAATGTGGTATATATATATATCACAATAATAATGAATTACAATTAATGAAGTGTATACAACCATTCAAATGTGTGTTATAGTCATGTGAATTTGAGTGCACCATTGTACGAAAAAAGTTAATTGGCTGGTTAATTGGTTAAATTATATGAGGTGTATTTTATTTTGCACTTTATAAAGTATTAGGTTACATCATAGAGAGTGGTTAATAATCACACCGATAAATTATGAGTAATATATATATATGAGTATAGTTAAGACTATGGCTACAAAATTAGTAAAAATAACAAATCGATTTTCTTTAATGAGTGAAATTATTGGTAATTTTTTTTTAACTGAATAGGTGGGTTGTGGAGATTGTAGTAATTTAATAGTTGAATTGATGAGTCAATTTAGGCTAGATCACCAGTGAAAAGCCGAGATTGGTTGAAGTTAGACATTAACACCGTTGGAGGTCGACTCAGTGGTCTGTAGTTTAAGCGTTTAAGTGTGTGTGAAACCGATGGTCCTGGATTGGAGTCCCGCGTGCACGATTGTGGATGTGTACTTTTGAGGAGTCCTATACTAGGACGGAACAGCTGTCCAGTGATTCCAGGTTTTTGACGGTGGTCTAACCTAAACTGACTCATGAATTCAACTATTTAAGATATTTGCTATTAAGTTAATACAAGTTATGATCTAATTAGGAGAATCTATTGTCTTTAAAGTAAGATAGATTATTTTAATGTTTAAGCAAAATACAAACTGAATCCGTGATCAGTAGAGAAACGTGTGAAAATACTTGACTTGTTTTTATTTACTGCGATGATAGCTCTTGAAAACAATAAATTAGATTTCTGAGGTATTCGATGGTTTGATTTGTCATACAGTGCACAGAAAATAACACATACATACATTGGTAATATTTAAACATGTGTTAATTCAAACTGATATCATGGATGGATGAATGTTAGACCACCATTGAAAACCTAGAAGCACTGGATGGTCGTTTCATCCTAGTATGGAACTTCTCAGTAGTGCGCATTCAGGATTTAGTTCGGTTATTTACTTACTCTGAAGAAGTCGCAGACCAAATTAAGTTCATAGATTCGGTAGTTGTTTTATGGCTTCACTTAGAAGTGATGACTTTAATCTAATTGAAATCTTGTTAAATTCTCATATAGTAAGGGAATTATGGTTGGTATTAAATAGTGAAATGTCTGATTATTTTTAATACTGTACCGACAGTTTTAAAATTTATAAGGTATGAATTAATTGTGGACACTAGTGAACACTTCCATTGAATTGTGATTTTGATTTTCTTCGTTAGCATTTACTTTTCCAAATACTTGAATTTTAGCATATGACTTCATAGGAGAACATATTGTCAGAAGACTTAACCTATAAAGTAGGGAATCAATGTCAAGAGACTAAAGTTCATTATAGCAAGTAACTTCACTTGTTTACTAGAGTATTTTAGTCTATGTCTATTACTGGTTGAGAATCAACACCCCTCAAACTTTTTAGGTAAACCTTTTATATACACCAACAAAGACTTAAGCTACGACTGCTTACAATTTATCCTCTAGTTTCATTAAAATTACCCTACCAGCGTAAAGGCAGTGAATAAAACATTTCAGACAGTCGATAAGCACATGCTGTTTATAACTTTCCACAGGTTTTTGCGTTATAATTTATATAAACTGGAATCCTGAGTTCAGTAATTCATGACTATGATTAACTAAATACTGAAGAATAAATAGTTTTACACTTACCATTATGTTTTACTAAGCCATGTTTACAGGTGATCCCTTATGCTTTGAAAAATATTCCTTGATGGGAGACGTATTTAATGTAGCCTCATAATAAAAGATAAATAGGTAAGCGCGCATCAAATTGTTCTCATTAGGTGAAGTTTCCTTTATACAGTTATGCACCATTGGCCGGCTAGTGTAGAATACTTTCAATCAGAAAAAATGTCTGTCCTATCGAATTATTCTAAACTCAAAATTCACTAAAATCGGCTTCTGATTTTCTTTTTTCCTTTAAGAGGTATATACTATCAATAATATTTCCATCTTAAATATTTACTTGTCTTCCAAATACAAAATTTTTCCCTTAACTAACAACGCATGTCATTGAGAATATTAGTGAATTAGTATTTCCCACGAAATATTGCACTCCGACATAGTTTCCAACTCACTGCCATAGAGCATCATTTTAATTAGTAATCAGACTTGGAGTATATGATAAATCTAAAACACATATTATTCAAAGTTTATAATAATAACAATGGTTGTTATGTTTACTACTGAATAATCAAACTGCATCACGAGGCAAGCATTAATTTGGAATCCTGAAGGGAAATAGAAAAGAGGAAGGCCAAAGAACACACTTCATCGAGAATTGGAAGCAGACAAGAAAAGGATGAATATCAACTGGAAGGAAGTGGAAAGGATTGCTCAGAGCAGGGTTGGATGGGGAATGCTAGTGGGCGGCCTATACTGCCCGACGAGGAGTAATAGGCGTAAGTAAGCGAGTAAATAATTGGTGAAGTTGAAAGTTTTCTGTGAAAACTACAAAATTTTGTAAATTACGTCTCTAAGTGTGTTTTCATTGCGAAAATTAACAAAAACACGATGAAATTTGTATATTTCATTTTATATACACAAAGCATAGTTTAATACTTCTGTACTATGTAGGATAATAGATAAAAGACATTTATGAGTAATATACACAGTTTGAACTTGGAAAAGCCAACCATAATTAAATCAAATCGTTCACCATATACCTTACTGTTAACTTTCAGAGTGGTACCCAACTTCATATATTCTTTCTCAGTAGTCCCAATAAAATATAAAGAGAATTAGTACTGACGAATAGGACAGCACTTAAGTTGACAAATTTTAAACACAAATGTCGGTTAAAACTAAAATCACATACCTTCTTTATATGATAGATTAAACAAAGTCCTTTCTTCAATAGTGCTAAACTAAGTGAATCTAAGAATAGATAGAAAAAATAACAACTTCCATCTAGATATATTCACAATATTTACAACATCATCAATGTTACAGCTGTTATGTGATTCCATCAGCGTTCTTAATTACTTCTAATATTTAAAGCTACATGTGACAGTTTGATGATTAAAAAGAGAATGAATGTAAAATCATTACGAAGCGAGCATTTTAAACTCGATTTCTTGCAATGAACGGAGAAGGGTTGTGCATGGGGTTAGAGACCTCATCCCGTAGAAAACTAACTCGCTAAAAAGACGCTTACCCGAATAAATGATTCAAACCATTTAAACTCTGCCCCGGGAGTTAGAAGGTCTTCATTTAGAAGAACTATGACGCCTCATGGTGAAAGCCGAGTTCCTTAGGAAGCCACGAGCCTGATGTCTCTTCTAACAACCAGAGCAACAATTTTTATAGGTACATGGAACGTCCGATAAGAAGTATACTGATAATATTGTCTATAAAGACAATGGGAGCTTCACGATTAAACTATATAGTTTACAGAATAAATCAAGTTTTAAATCCTTTCCTTGATCAATAAATATTCTCTATCATATGAAAATTCACTATCTACCATTGTACACTGACTCAATTATTAACAAATATACTTTTAGACTTTTTCATTGTAAACATTGGAACTGAAATTGGTAATCAATCATTCAGCACTTTAAACATGTACCATTTCGAAGAAAAAATCTTAGTCAATCAATAAAATATATTTTTCACTTATTTCTTTCAAACCAACTAAACTGTAAGATTGATTTGTATGAAATCTCATTTGGAAAATTGAGTTGATTTAACAAATAATATGTTCATATATGTTTAATAGTTGAAATCATGAGTCGATTGAAGTTAGACCAACATGAAAAACTTGGAAGCACTGGACGGTCGTTTCATCCTACTGTACGACTCCTCAGTAGTACGCATCCACGACCCCACCCCCTGTGAGATTTGAATCCAAGACCTATCAGTCTCGCGCTAGAGCGCTTAGCTCTTAGACCGCTGAGGCAGCCGGCGGGTTTTGCATGAGCACTGCTGAGGAGTCCCAAACTAGGACGAAGCGGCCGTCCAGTGCTTCCAGGTTTTCCATGCTGGTCTAGCATCAGTTGACTCATGATTTTATCCACTGAAATTTCTAAAATCTCCACAACACGCATTCTGATTTAGTTTCATCAAAATTATATGTATATCGAAATTCTTTTGCCCTAGTAACCGATAACTTGTGAAGTGATCCATTTTTGCTAACAAAATGTTAACATTTCTAACCATTAGTAAAATAGTTCATTAATATTAATATTACTTTTTCTGATAAACTTTATCGCCTAATTTTAGGACAAAAGTGATTTCATATATGTTACGTAATTCAAACAACAAATTCGACAAACAACTGGTAAGGTCTGTATAAGGGTTTTGTAGAGATGATAGAGTTATAAGTTAATTTTAGCCACACCACTATTGAAAAGCAGAAAGCACTGGACAATTATTTCGTCTTATTATAGCACTCCTCAGCAGTGGAAATCCACAACCCCAAAAACAGTATATCAAACTTTGGACTTTTAATCCCACATATGAATTTCTAACCTTCATACAACTGAACCCACATACAGGGATGTATATTTTTAATTTTAAAAAATTCTAGATATTTCATAACCATCTTTCACTGACTGTAGTTGGTAATTGTCTCACAATTAACATTGTTCTGAACCTAGACTGATAACAGACATTCGCTCACTGATGGCTGGCTTTTAGCGGGAATTTCTTGACTTTGAGTGATGAGCGGTGACTGGGGATGTCCAAACTTATCCAGTGTGAGACATTTACCCACTATAGACATTAGTAGATGGTCTTGTAATATCGTGAATTGATTTAAGCCAGACATTAGCATCGTTAGATGCTAGCTCACTGGTCTATAGATTAACCGAAGATCTTGTATGGAATCCACTGTGCCAGTGTTTTAGGTGGTTACTAATCAGCAGTCTCATACGAATATGAAACAGTTGATCAATGCTTTCTGGTTTCTAATAATGATCTAGTTAATATTAAGTCGAGATATAAAACCCATCGAAATTGTTAGTGTTTCACCAAAATATTTAAATGTCAAAGAAATGTAGATTACAACATTAACTGAGTTGAAAGAAATAACCATTGTAGATCAGAAGGTATTTAACAACTGTTTTATAATGACAACATAAGTTAATGAATTAAGCCATGAAGTG